TCTCTCTCTCTCTCTCTCTCTCTCTCTCTCTCTCTCTCTCTCTCTCTGTCTCTCTCTCGCTTTCTCTCTCTCTCTCCTGACCTCTTCACTGCTGCATCCATGGTGCTCACAGCAGGACATGGCACCTAGGAACCCCAAACAAAATAGCTGCTTAGTCAAGTCAGCCACCTGGCTGGTCCTTAGGGCCAGCTTTCTAAATGTATCTCTTTGATGGACGCCAGTGTCCCACTAGGGACTCATATGTCTCGTGACTGCACACTGACAGAAAGTCCCACAAATACAGGAATTCCCAATGCTCTCACAGGTGAGGTCAGGCATTTCATAGATCTCCATTTCTAGTTGGAGTGTCTAACGATGCTCCATATGACAAACACTTGGGACTTGTCAACTCAGCACCCACGTTTACTTCTTTCACTGACTCCACTCACCCTTCTACCTTTAAGTGTGCTGGGGAGTGGTTGCACAGCCTCTCAGATGTATCCTTACAGCGTGGAATTGTGCCTGTTTTCAGGGACCATGAATTATCGGTCTTTGGGAGCTGGCTTTGTCTTATCTAAGTGGCCCTGAAGTTCGATTGCTGCTATTATCTATCAATCAATTCCCACACGAACCCAGCGTTTGCTCCCCTTGATTGCTCTGTTCTTCTGTGCTGCCATTTTGATTGTGATTTTTGCTTCTCTTCAATGCTTTGTCACCTCACAATTATTTTTCCACTGAAAAGCAGTGACAGAACGATCAGCCATTCTTGAGTCGCAGTTTTGAATGTTTAAGAGTCCCTACGTTCTCCTCTGTCAGTTCACATATACCGTGAAGGGAGGACCATGATACCTTTTATTTTGAAGGAAGACACATGTGTTCCCCAAAATCTTCATACAAGATAAAATGGCAGGGGATGGGGAAAGACCGAGCTCTCTAAAATGTCTCTGGTAGTGGACATAAAAGGAAAAGAGAGAGAGCATTGGCATCATCCTCCCGTCCACACCACTGGTCCCACTTGCCATCCCAGCCTCAGCTCCCAGCATTCCACAGTGTCACACAGGCTTCAAGTGTTCCAGGCATCTTTCAGGGTCAAGTGATTTAGTCTTTGAAATACTCCTATGAGATATGATAATGGTTTTCTTTCTACTTTTTCTGGTGTCTCACTGATATTTCTGGGTGCTGTGGCTCACTCTGTTTCCCCCACAATATGTAGTAAACTGAGAATCAGGTAGATGACCAAGGTGTATATGTATCTGTGTTCTGTATAATCTTCTATGGCTCACTCAATGAGGCTGCATCCAGCCTTCTGGTTCACCTGGTTTTGTTTTTTTGTTTTGTTTTTTAAAGTGAGGGAGGTGGGAGCTTTAATCCTGCAAATGTAAAATTCCCATTATCCTCAAACTGTTCACTAATCTATTTGTTGAAACAAATGATTTATTGGAACGAATTCACCTTTTCAAAACAAGTGGTCTAGCAGGGCTGGCTGTAAATGATTTAATCTTCTTGTTTATTCAGATTGGACCAAAAGGATTGAGTACCAGCCTGGCTCAGGGAGTATGCCCTTGTTTCCCAGCATCCACCTGGAGACGTGCGATGGAGCTGTGTCCTCCCTCCAGGTCACTGCAGAGCTGCAGACTAATTACATCGGCAAGGGCTGTGACCGCGAGACCTACTCTGAGAAATCCCTTCAGAAATTATGTGGTAAGCTTTTCCTTTGAGACTTTGTTCAATTAATAGCTTTCAAGTGATACATGCAAATGAAGTTTATCTAATTATAGCAAAAAGGCCAGCCTTCCCACCTGCCTCAGTCCTCCTGAATGGATATTTGCATAGGGCAGAAAGATGAGAAGACTCAGCTTTTTGGCCTCAGATACAACTGGTTCAGAGTCTGTCTGTCAGTGGTTTGGCTTTAGGCAAGTAGTTTGACAGAGCTTCCATTCTTCACTGGTAAGATTGAATGGGAAATATCGGTTAAAAGTTTCCAGCACAGAGCCAAGTGACACTCAAGGTCTTTCCAGCAGGTGAGGTTATGGAGAGCTGCCTGCCTAGGTCCGTTATGAAAAATGATGTCAGGCAACCTGCAAAAGGGATTGACTCATCTCCACCAAGCAGCCACTTGATTTCCAAGACCCGGTGCAAATGAAATGGTTAAGAATTTTAATATAGCAACAGTGAACGAACCACTAAACCAAGGGCCTGCAGCTAAACAACTGCTCAGGGTACAGGCCTGGGAAGCTGAGCCCAGCTGTCCATAGCAGAACAGCTTCAGACAGAATGGAGGTGGGTGGGAGAATGAAGATATTCACACGTGAAAGTGAGAAGGAAATGAAGAAGGAATCATTAATGAAGAGGGAGAGTGGGCTGCAAGAAAGAAGAAAGGCCAGGAATTACTGGTAGGAAATGGAGTTGATTACAGGATTCCATAGAGGATGGCTCGGAAGAGGCTTTTCTTGAATACCCACTGTGTGCATCCTGTGACACTCCAAATGGGATGCTCCACCTAGTGTTCACGTGTATACCAAAAAGAAAATATATCCACCTAGCTTTAAAGATGGAAACTTGGAGCCTCAAAGTGTGACCATCATTGAAGTTTGCACAGACAGGAAATATCCAAGATTGACTTTGAAAACAGGCTTAGATCAAAGGTGGGCTGAAAGGTAGGCTCATTGGTTGAGAATTTATCAAGGCCAGCCTGGCTCCTAGAGCTGACTGGTAGCTCTCCAGTGAGCCTGTGAAGGAGAAGCTAAGTGTCCTGTGCAGTGGGACCAGTGTCCATGCTTTAGTAGCTGACTGCTACTGTGTTGGCGGACCTCTTCACCTCTCTTGGACATGCAGTACTTTTCCTTTTTTATCTACAGGAGTATCCACGGACTTGCATGCAGCTCTCCCTCAGCTTCACTGTGGGAGCTGAGGAAAAGACTTCTTCCCGCAGCGGGCTGCATTTGGCTGTAACCATGCCTCTTCTAGAGGAAAGTGAGGCACCTCAGTATATACTTTAGTTGTATTACTTCATGAGGGCCTCCTATATTATCTTTGGAATAATTTTTTTACATTTTTCTCACCCAAAGAACCAAGTGAAAATTTTAGAACCAAAATAAACCCCTAGTAATCAGCATATTCTGTTCATCATATCACCAGGATTTGGCAGAAGATCTGTGGGGATGCCTGCCCTTCTGAAACAATTCAGCAGATTGGCGGGTAATGGTGCTTCGAACAACTATTTCACTAGATGATATTAGGGACTTACAATGCTCATAGACTGCTCAAATCCTGTCCTTTCCTCTATTTGGTTCACAGAAGCCATCTAAGGTGACATCTTACTTGGAATTAATATCCCTTTTCATTCTCCCTGTACCTGGAGTGTCAGTAAACTCAACCTCACATGGCCTCTATGGGTTAGTCATTTCCCAGAACTCTGGGTTAGAAGGAAATGATGAATCTGTTTGCTAAAGATCAGAGGGCCCAAGGGCACATGCTGTGACTTGATTTTCAATGTTGCTGGAGAAAGATGGGAGGTAGAGAAGATGCAAAGAGTGTTTTAAGAGAAGAAACAGCAACGGCAAATTGCATGTGGCGTGCTAACTGCTCACTCCATCTGGACTGCCAGCCTCACGGGCTAACTCAGCTGAGGAAGACAGCTTCCCCAGGTGTGCTTCATCTGCTTCTAGGAGCTGCCCTTTGAATGAAACAAGCCCGCTTCTCTCTAGCCACCTTCCCAGTAGCACTGCCTACCACTCTTATGGGATCCCTGCCCAGTAACCAAGGTGGACAGATGAGTCAGGTCTCATGTCAGAAGCCGTACTTATGATTTTCCTGGGGTAGAGTACTGCAAAGCAGGGCAGAAGCAAAGGGTGGAACATCAGAAGTCAGCGCCCCTAGCATCTAAGGAAAAGGTAGGGGCTGGTTCATGCCCAACACACAGGCTGTGTGGTACTGTCTGACTCCTGTGAGCATCATGGCTCCGGTCGACAGATGTCAGTGTTTTCAGTAGATAGTACGCGGGTTTCTTCCTGTGTTTCCCAACCAGGAAGCTGCTGTGACACTTTAAACTCGGCATTCACGCATTTTTTCATTCTACAAATCTTGATTAACTTTAAAGGGAAACAAGGAGAGCAATTGGAATGTTATTACCGTAGTCTAAGCAACAGATAATGAGTTCTGAACCAGGGGAGTGGCTGTAGGGATGAATTTAGGACAGTTAAGAGGCAAAATCAGCAAGATGTGATAAGTGTTAAGTGGTGGGAAGGAAGAGAGAAGGGATCTCTAAAGTACCAGCACCAGTGTCTTAACTTGATGAACAGGCCACACCCTCAACCAGAAACCCAGGAGCAAGGGTACATTTATGGGACATCATTGGCAGTTCCCTGGGCAACACCACCTTCCAGCCTCCTCTCAGTTCTTGGGATCTGCCTTAACCTACAGTTCCAGCACTATGGCTCCCTTTGTGCTGGTCCTTTTGTCCCTTTCCTTGCTTCTTCTCATCCCCAAGCCTTTGCTTTTCTCTCCCAAGCCCTTCCCCTCAGTCACTACTCCATCTGCTCCCTTGTCCCAAGCCCCTCCCCGCAGTCACCAGTCCATCTGCTCCCTTGTCCCAAGCCCCTCCCTGCAGTCACCAGTCCATCTGCTCCCTTGCTCAGTTAGGTCAAGTTTCATGTTGCTTCTGTGGGAGCGGGAGCTCTGCAGCATCCTCTGTGTTAGGGTGGTCAAACAGGGTCCCAGCCAGACTGGCTTCCCAAGCACTGAGGGAGTGAATCCCACTTAGGGGAAAGAGGGCTGTAGCTGATGCTGGCTGATGTCAGAAGGCATCCGAGCAAACATGGCAGCACAGGAGACAGACCTGAAGAAATACTGCTTGGCGGACAGTTTGCTTCCTGAGATTTAAGCATAGAGATGCTTCCTTTCTGCCTTGGAATAATATAATGGAGCCCCCGGACCTATGTCTTTTCCAGATTATATACCAGATACAGCATAAGCTGATCCATTTTCCAGACTCCACATCTCTTCTTAGAAGAGGTGGCCAAGTGCCCATTACCTTTTCCAACTTCAGGAATTCAGGTAACAATCTTGTCTTAGGACCAGACTTTCCAGATGTGAAAAGTCACAGCACTGTACTGAGGATAAAATGCAAGAAGAAGCCCTCAGGGAGACCTCTCAGCCAAATCAAATTTGACATTAATGACAGCCCAAGAAAAGGTTCCCTTCCTTGACCCTATGTCACTACGTATTATATGAAATAGAAAAGTACTTTGTGGTGCATAAGCCCTTTGTAACACAGAGGCCAAGCTGTGCTGAGGGGATCATAGGGATCCTGGCAGCTGGCCACTACTTCCTGAACACAATGTCAAGGGCAGCTGTTTTGTTTGTAAGTCAAGAGTTCCCAGGATAGGTCCTGCTGAAGGAAAGGCCACGGTGTATAAGCATGCTATTAAAATCAAGTGCTTTCCAAGCAGAGTGGATAACCCAACCCTATGCTCTTCTTCAGGTTTATATACTGATGAGCTGGGGAATTCATTCACACATTAATTAGTTCAACAAATATTTTTGTTTGTATAAGTGCTGTGTAACTCTTAAAATGATATAGAACCATCCATACCAAAAAAAAAATCACCTAACTATTTGCTTTCCTAGGAAGACAGACAGGAGTTACAATGCAGCATTTTGGAAGTATGAGAATCTAAGATTTTCTATGATAGCTTTCAGCCTAGCAGAGCTTGCCCAAAGAATTACTATCAGAGTCTCTGATGCCCTCAGAGTCCCACAAATCATCAAGGTCATCATGGGTAGTGTTCCCTGGGTGAAAGTAGGGGTCCTTAGTCTTCTCAAAGCTTTACTCCACAGTTTTTCCCCCATGATGGCATCAGCAGTGAATCAATCAATCAATATCTCTCTCTCTCTCTCTCTCTCTCTCTCTCTCTCTCTCTCTCTCTCTCCTTCCTGATTGGTTGGAGGCCACTTATGCAACTTCCATACCACTGTCTTTCTTTCAGAGAAGGCTTTTGCCTATAGTGGTGTTTCCCAAGATGGTCAGAAACTAAGTAGGTGTCCCTGGTCCCACTTCAGGAGTCTGTCAACCAAAGCCCAGCTTGTCTTACGTAGAATCCAAGTTCTTGTTTTCAAGGCCTTCAGATCTCAAGCATGTAGATGGGAAGTGGAAACCATAGTTACCTAAATCGTTTGCTTCTATGATTCATCAGGTCAGGCAGGTTATGCTGCAGTAACAAATGACCTCACAATATCATTGGCTTAAAATAACAAAGATTTATCATTCCTACCACATGTCCTTCTTGGATTGGACAAGACCCTAGCTAATGGAGTAGCCTTTATCTAGAATACTGATCATTCCAGGAAAGATGGGAAAGATTCATTGTGAACTGTGAACTTAAGACTTCTTTCCTAATATGACACATGTCACTTACATTCCTGTTTCTCTGGTCAGATCAGGACTTGTGGTCAAGTTGATATCATGGGTCAGAGATGTATGTATGTCATGCATACATACATTCTTCTAGCACCTAGGCCCAGTGGTCCACGAGGCACTTGAAGAGGGCCCTTCTGAATTCTGCCTAGACTCTCTACTCAGAACTCTTCTACCTATTTAACTGTTCCCTCAGGAGAATTAAAAGACGTACTGGGTCCCTAAAAGTGGGACCATTTTCATGTGATTAAAAATTATGCTCTCATGGCAGTGCTTAGCATGGCTTGGATATTGCACACACATTTATTGAGATAATATGGAATTAGTTCATCCTTCTGCTTATTGCACACCACACGTCTCTCTGAGAATACCATAGAATGAGGCTTGATCTTAATTCTTCTCTCAAGATTCTCCCACTGATCTCCACCCCTCCTATGCCACCAGCCTCTGGAGGCTCTGTGCACATCACTTCTGCCACAGTTCCTCTTTGGAATGCTAGGGGACACTGCCTATCCATACATGGCCATGCACAGCAGGATAAAGACCTAAGTGACCACCACTCCATGTACCATTTGACCTTCTACATTCTCCTGTGCCCATAAAGCTCTCTCATTCTGTCCTGTATCTATTTGCTGCTCAGCATCTCCACCCTAATAGAGCCCAGGGACTTGAAATCAAATATTGTTGCTAGTTTGGAGTGCCTAGCACTGGGAGGCAGCATCTGCAATGTACCAGAAGAACGTGAATTCTTCGCATCCAGTGGCTCCAGGGACTGTCCAGGAGAACTCCAAAGAAGCAGCCTAAGCATAATTAGATGTGCAAATGCTGCCGTACCGTGTCTACAAGTGGCACGCTGTGTTTTCCCACAACTTTCCCATGGGTTCCTTAGAGAAGAAGAGATGAAAGAACTTTGGGTGGAAGTGACTCTTCCTCAGATTGTTTAAGTGTAGCAAGAAACACATTTGATCTGTCAAGTCTGTGAAAGTCTATACCATCTTGTTAAGTGTATCATGTTCTCCAGTAGCAACATCTGCAGGACAAGAGAGAGGGACTGTCATTTCCCTACACAGAAGACACTGGAGCTCTGCTTGGGTGGCCTCAATGTGCCTCTCTGGGAACAGACACATGTATGAAGAGGTATCCCATAGGACTGGGGTGGTCATCTCAGCTGACTGGTTATTGGATCATCTTATGTCACAGCTGCACCTGTCTCTAATTAGTCACATGGTGGTACAACCCTGGTCTAGTCATTTTCTTCTCTGGTCTTCAGTTTCCACATTTGATAAATACACAAAAAGTTAGAAAATCATGTTTCAGTTCTCTGAGGGGGACTTCTGTAAGGATCTTCTGCTTTGGATCTGGAAAGCCCCAGCGATGAGTCTACCCAATGGCTGGTTATAAGCCTGGGCTCCCTCAGCCTGGGATCTCTTACCTGTCAACCAGAATCTTAGCGGTAGTCACAACACAACCATATATCAAAGGACGACGTGAGGTAGCTCAGTAATTCTGGTCTGGTGTCTAATCTGGGTCCTCTAGAAAGATCCGTGGGATGTAAGAAAATAAAAGTATATAGAAGATAAAGTTCTGTGGATTCCAGCTCTGTCTACAGAACATCCCTGTTCCAGGTTAGGTTACTCTGCAAGCAGTTTGCTTCCCAAACACCTTTCGTGTCTCACTCACTATGTCACACTAGTCCTTGCTCTGTGCTTCTCTCCAAATCTGTTTTGGGAAAACTTTTTACTTAACTCCTCCACTAATTAAATTATTAAGTGTGAATTCTCCAGGCAGAGTAAGACTCCTAACCAATAGAGAGAGCCTTGTATGATAGTTCCCTGCCCTGCCAAGCCTCATTCTGGGCCTCCTGTATGCCACCTTGGCTGTTCTATTGATGACATAAGATACCATATATATCCCTCTGCACTGTTCTTAGATATTATCTTCTCAGGGGTTCTAAATGATCAGCCTGCATCTTTGCAGATACTACAGGTTTCAAGAATCAACAGTGCATGCCTCAGTCACTGGTTGTCTTCATGCTGCACAAATCCCAGATCTCATGCTATTATCAGTAAAAGAAGCTGTTGTGATATGATTCTGTAGGAGATTGAAAAAATAAACTTTTTGATATCCCAAGAATCTCTCATTCTTGAACATCCCACTAATCTCTCCCTGCTACCACTTTGATGTCTTTTTTTTTAACCAATATGCATGGAGAGTACGGCCAAAGGAGCGTAAAATGGTAGTGTGAACTTGTTTTGCAGATATGTGTTCTATGCTGGGGGGAGGAGCATTGGGAGGTGACAATAACTGGCTATGATAAGAACTGTGAGGCATGGATAAGAGGCAGGATGGTCACCTGAGCACTGAGAATTGCCAGAGTCCACATGCTGTCTGTCATTTCTTCCTTCTTTCTTGCGTTTCTTACGTTTCCCCTTTATTCTGCTATATGTTTGCTGTATTGTATGTAGTTGTTTTATGTGTATGTGTGGTGTATATACTTATTAGTGTACATGTGTATACATGAGCATATAGATGTGTGTGTGTGTGTGTGTGTGTGTGTGTGTGTGTGTGTGTGTAAGCCAGAAGTAGACATTAGGTGTCTCTCTTTAATTTTTGAGTCAGGGTCCCATGCTGAACCTGAAGCTAATTGGTTGGCTAAGCTGGCTAGACAATGAGCTTGTAGCTTCTGTTTGTCTCTACCTATTCCCTCCTAGTTCTGGGGTTAAGACACGCACCACTGTGCCTGGTTTGTTTGTTTGTTTGTTTGTTTGGTGTGTGTGTGTGTGTGTGTGTGTGTGTGTGTGTGTGTGGTGTGTTCTGGAGACCTTATGTGTGTGAGGCAGGCACTTTACTGATTAAGTCATCTCCCAGCCTCTAACAGAGCATCTTAGCAGAGGACACTGGAAAAGGGGAAGGGCAGTTGTAAATAGGAACTGAGTATCTATTATGTGTCAAGTGTAGAACAGGCAACATCCCTAGAAAATCCCCATGTGACTCATGCCATCAATTCTACCCACACCTCCCATAGAGAATCATGACTAGAGAGCCTGCATCCCCCACCAGAAGGATGGACCTTCTGGAGGCCCTTTCAGGCTGAACTTAATGCAGTGCTAAGCAGAGCATGTGTGCTCAAAGGAATCATATTTTCCCCATATATTATAGTCTTTCACTCCAAGCCAATGAACATCATGTGCCTGGTGATCCTTTCCAAAGCCAAAGGAAAGTCTGGCAAGGATGAACATTATAAAGAAGTATATTGGTTTCCAATATGGCACCTTCCTGAGGAGTTTTCACTGAAGGATACTTTTTGTGACAGCTGACCTTGAAATCCAAACCCTAGGTGAGATGACTTTCTGCTCTGCAGACGGCAAAGGCCAGTGACCCAATGAACATCAGACAGTGCACATTCCCCGCCATCCTTTAGAGCATCTTCTCTGTATCACCATCACAATGTTCACATGACTGATGAGTGTTCTGTCAGGTCCCTATGCACAGCCCAGGCAAAACTTGCATTCCCTAATCCAGTTGAACATAGCAAGAGGCTCTCAACCTAATGGAAAGGATGCTGCTCAGAGAATAAATGAGGGCCCAAAGGTGTCCTCCCAGAGGAATAGTCTAGTCTTTCCTGGCAAGCCAGCTGTTCCCTCTCGCCTCAACCTACCTTCTGAAAAGCTGCCCTGAGATTGTCTCAAACTGCTAATCTGCCCTTATAGATATAGCCTGGCTGTTTGGAGATAAGCCCTCCTGTTCTAGTCTAGAATGATAGTGATAGCAAAAAAAAAAAATCACAATAATGGTGATGAGAAAATTATAGCTCACACCAAGCGAGCACTTAACGTGTGTCAAGCATGTAGCTGCAAGCTTGAATGCATGATCTCATTCTGTCCCCACATACACCGAAGAAGGGAACACAGTCAGAGAGACCGATGTGTTCCCAGTCACAGAGCTGCTGAGTCAAGCTGTTAGCTGTCAAATCCAAATGGTGCCAACCTCAGAGCCCCTGTTCTCAAGCACTGTACCATTTGGTTTCAACAAATGGTTGTAGGGAAAGGTAGTGTATACAAAGTGGCTTACACACCTCTCTAGATGAAGGCCTAGAATTTTCCTCAGTCTTAACTCTGATCATACTATGTTGTCTCATAGATTCTTCACAGCAATGAATATCCGATTCATCTTCATATAGCCAGAACTCAGAAAGGGTCATGGCATAGGGTGAATGCTCAGTAAATGACTGGCAGGTTAGTTGATTGATGAGTGCATGAATGAATTACTAAAAGCCCCAATGATTCCCTCAACTCTTGAGGCCCCTCTCACCCTTTTCCTTGTATAGTAGTTGATTGTACCTGCCTGGGTGTATGCATTGTTTTTATTTGCATACCAATGTATATCTAAACAGAACAGGATCAAGTCAGAGGCTCAAATGATATTGGAATCTTTCCTGAGCCACGTAGGTCAGGAGTAGGCACAGACCTAAGTACACTAACTCCACTCTGACACAGAAACAGAAGACAGAAGATGGGCACACCACCAACCTTGAGCAATAACCACTATGCTTTCATCTCTTCCCCTTGCAGGAGCATCCTCAGGCATCATTGACCTCTTACCATCCCCTAGTGCAGCTACCAACTGGACTGTGGGACTCCTGGTGGACAGCAGTGAGATGATCTTCAAGTTTGACGGCAGGCAGGGTGCTAAGATCCCTGATGGGATCGTGCCCAAGAACCTGACAGACCAATTCACCATCACTATGTGGATGAAACATGGCCCCAGTCCCGGCGTGAGAGCTGAGAAGGAAACAATCCTCTGTAACTCAGATAAAACGGGTGAGTCTCCAGCCTGTTATGTCACCAGTGGCTGAACAGACACAGCTGTGGAGGGTGTGCTGAAGTAGAAGCACGACAGGGAGCCTGGGAATACATTCTGCTCTTTGATTTTCCAGCTGCTGATTTTCTAGAGGTTGAGTAAAGTGGGACTAGGAGAGAAAGGAAAGAAGAGGAGTAAGCAGAGAGAAGGGAGCAGTCTTAATCAGTGATCTTCAAACGAGGAAGCTCCTCGGAACTCCCATGTCCGTGGAAGTCCCTTGGGGCTGCTGTAGATGAGGTGCAAGTAAAGACAAACCCTGCATTTACTATATTGTATGTGGTGGTTTGAATAGGAATGGCCCCCATTGGAATGGTTGGCCATTGGGAGTGGTACTGTTAGGAGATGTGGCCTTATTGGAGTAGGTGTGGCCTTGTGGGAGGAAGTGTGTCGATGTAGAGGCGGGCTTTGAAGTCAAACATGCTCAAGGTATGCCCATCGTGGCACACAGTCTCCTTCTTCTGCCTTTGGATCAAGATGTAGGACTCTCAGCTCCTTTTCCAGCACCAAGTCTGCCTGCAGTCCAACATGTTTCCCACCTTGATGATAATTGACTGAACCTCTGAAACTGTAAACCAGCCTTGATTAAATGTTTTCCTTTATAAAAGTTGCCGTGATCATAGTGTCTCTTCATGGCAATAAAACCCTAACTAAGACATTATTTTCAAAGATCATCTTTGAATAAAAGGATCTTGTCAACTTAAAGCAGTGTTTTGAAAAGGGAGAGTGGAAGCTAACAGGTGCTGCACATTTCTCTCATTCCAGGCCTGCACAGGTGTCTTTGGGAATTGACCACACCCTATCACTTACAGATGGGTGACTTTGTTATAGTATTCTCTTCCTCAGAGTTGTTTTTTGCTGATTAAGTAACTTAAACATACATGAAGCCTTCAAAATAATGTTGGGCACATAGAATGTATCATTGGTATCAGCTATGCTTCTTCTAAACCTTTACAAGGAATTTAGTGAAAGCACTATTGTGGAAACATCCACTGAGAGGTCACGCATCCACACATCTTGTCCCAAGTAGTTACACAACCAATAAACACAAGAACAGAAAGATCAGCTTATGTACTACTAAGTCACATCCTATGCATTTATCACTGTGCCTACATGTACACACACACATACACACACAAACACACACAGAGAGAGTGTCTTGAGATCTTTTGCAAGATTTACACCTCTACCTTTAATTGTGATTCCAGTCTCCCATTTCAATGATAACTTTGGTTAAAATGCTCAAATAAGTCAGTGTTTCTAACTGTAAGACAGTGCAGAAGGTAGCCAGCGGCTCAGTGCCTGCTGTCAGACAGTCCAAGTCCTCAGCTCAGTGAGATGGCTGCTTAAGTGTGACCCTTGAGGAGTTATTAAGCTCCATGAGCCTCAGTTTCCCCATATGCCAAGTGGAGGAAGTAAGCATGAAATAAAATATGAAATCATTTAAATCAGATACAGATCATCAGGTGAAGTGGTATCACTGGCACCATCATTACTATCACTATTTCTGAGTTTATTCCATTTCCTGTCACTACAGGGTTCTCTATATTTTCCATCCCAGTTGATCCCTGTAGACTATGTTAGTGTGTTATCTTCTAGACAGACACTAAGTCAGGGTTGTCTGGCTTTTGCCTACTCATAAGACCAGTCTAGGTAGAAGGAGGCAGCACTAACAATAACTTTTCTCCGGACCTTCATGCAGGGAGGATGTCATGGACCTACATGAGGTGACACTGAGCTTGGGGCTGGGTTTAGTGACCTGGTCTTAGCAATAGGACACTGGACATCATGGTTGCACTGGACATCATGGCTCTAGAATCAATGTCACAGTGAGGCTACAGCTTAGGATAGTGCAAATGTTAGGCAGATGATCAAAATTTAGCAGCCACAGATACGATTGTTTTTTGAATGTGGATCAAGCACTCCTGAGAGAGTGCTTGACAGAGAAGCCAGACAGTGTTTCTGCCGACACAAGGGCATCTAAAACAGAAGAGTTAGAGTCATGGGCAAGGACAACACCACTACCTAGAACAGTGTGGTATCTAGAACATCTTATTGCATATCCTAGGGCCAGATTTATACAATAGAGGCACTACAGGTTATAAGAATAAGCCAGCAAAGCTTTCTAAAGTATATGTGCCTCATCCTAGCTGCACAGGCCAGTGCCTCAGAGGACTCTACAGGGCAGCCACGACTACAATCTGCAATGATGCCTTCCAATCACAGTGGAAGAGAGGCTCAGAACCTCAGGCATACAAGGCCTGTGCCTCAACTCTGCCCTCACAGGAAGCCACACCTTAACAGTTAGCTGAAGATTGGCAAAGAGGGCAGGAGACATGGTATAGTGGAGAACAGCACTTGTCACCAAGGGTAACAACCCTAGTTTGATGTCTGGAACCCACATCATAGGAGAGAACCAATTCCTGCAAATTGTCCCCTGACCTCCACAAGTACAAGGTTGTGCTCATGTACACATACATGTATGCAGACATTAATATGCACATGTGCACAAGTATACACACACACACATGCAAGTGCATACACACATACATCATAAATACATATTTTAAAAAAGATTGTTACAGCGAAAATGGAAAGAGTCTGGTCTAACTTAGCTCCTGACATGGAAAGTAATATAAATATAAAAGATTAGGGTTTAATGAAGACCTAATTTGGACTTTTATCTTATATCAGAAAGTCTTTCCAGTGGAAAGGTGATAAATGTTGCAGCATAAATGGAAAAGGCACAGGAAAGTATCAAAACATACAAACCTAAAATCTAAACACTTGGAGAGATATGTGGTAAGGTTCTGTATACTTCATTTGAATGTTACTTTTATTTCTATGAATAAGTAGAATGTCTTCCCGTTTCAATCTATTTTAATAATACATCTGATTATTGTTTCATGAAAAACTATACCCAGGTCATGTAGCCATGTGATAAAGTATTCTCTTTTGGAGGAATGTAAATGACAAAATATCACATGGCCCATACTGGCCTTGAACTTTTGAGCCTCCTGACCCCACATCCCAAGTGCTAGGATTGCAAGCATCCACCACCATGCCTGGATGATAAAATAGCCTTTGGAAACTAAATTACATGCCAGCTTAAAACTCTGCCACATGGATTTATCATACTTTATTTAATGGCTTCTTTTGTCAGCTACTTAGAGTGTCTCCTTTTAAAGTCAAATAAAACAATGCTGTTGTGAGCCTTCTAGAATGTAGCTTTCACACATCTCTGATTGTTCCCTGGCTGGAAGTTGAATTACTATGTCATAGAATATGAATATTGAGAAAATTTAGCGAAAATGATGAAATTGGCCTTCCAGGGTATCACGTTGATTTCTGTTTGGTACACTGAACAAAACTTATTAATGCTGGTCCATTATAAAGTCCTCCATAAATAGTTGGAAAGCAGAATTGATTAGTCAGCAAAGGCTAACTATGAAGAAAGAAAGGGAAAACCACTATTACCGTTATCACCTGTAAAGCTGTCAGTGACTGCCACTCTTCTGTCACTCTCCTCATTCATTGTCCAGTGGTGGGTATGAAGGGGAAAGCTCTGCCTGGTCCATATATTCTGAGACAAGAATCCTTGCATTGTTTGGTCTGGCTTTACTTAGCCATCAAAGAGAAAGAACAGTGTTGAGTACAGAGGGTATTATTGACAAAGACAGCAGGCTGTATGTGTCATCTCTAATCACTACCTTCCACTTGCTGGAACTTGGTCACAGGGCCTTCACCCAGCCACAGAGAGGCTGTGAATTGCAATTAACTATTCACTGGGATCAAACGAAGCAGGGTTAGGTGCACATGGAGCAGTGCATCTGTCACAGGGGATGCTTGGGCCTTCGTTGGCATTTGTCTCCCCACTCTCTATGTGAATGATGCCATTGCCTGTTACCGCTCACGATTCCTTCCCAGCTCCTGCCATTTCACCATAATCCCTTCATGCTCACACATCTGTCCCTGTAACTGGGATCCTTTCCTCCTCCAGTACAGTTGTCCTGCTCACATTGAATTCAGCTGGAAGCAATGAATGTTGAGTAGCCAGCCATACATAGTACTTGACATTTCCTGCTGGAAATTCTAAGACTGGGAGCGGGATAACATGACCTAGCCCTGGAAGAGCATCAGCTTGCTAATGAGTACTTCAATGGCTCTCCAGCCTATGGAAAAACAAGGGTGTGCCCACAGCCCTGGAATGACTAGAAAACTGCTCAGAAAGATTGCAACTGTGTTGGGCCACATTTTGGACCTGCACCAGCCCTTGCCTAGCTACCAGTGATGTAAAATGAACCTATTGGCCCCACCTTGTCATTGTCACCTCACACCACCATATATGTCATCTCTCCCTATACCTAAGTGCCCACCTCCTTTCCTTCTCTGTATAAGTGCCTAATTTAGCAAAAACAAGTTCATGCTTTGACAAGACTCCTGGCTCAGTGTGTTTCTTTTGGGCCATTGACACTCGATATCCCACTCATCCCCAAGACCCGGCAGGACCAGGACCTCACTCCTTTCACCTGGACCTGCCAGCAAGGAGCAGACACAACTGTAAGAACAGGAAGAAGCCCTACTCTTTGCTGCTCATTGGCTGACCAGGAGATGCCCCTCGTATTTGTGTGTTGATCCAGGGGTCTTCAGCAGTGAGGCAGAGGGAAAGGGCCTAGGTTGAAGGAGAGAGCAGTCCTAGCAGAGGAGGTCTGTTCTTCCAGTCTTCTTGGTCCACCTCTTCACTCTAGTTAATTCCAAATAAAGCTACTAAAGTCTTCCTTCCATCCTTCCTTCCTTCCCCTAACAGCCCTTAACAGAAACATAGAAAATTACTTATACAATTATGAAGGGGCAAGAAGAATCCTCCAGGTGGGCAGGGGAATGGCTCTCTCTGTTGACCTTAGGCAGGCATTTTGAACCAACTCCTGTGTTGGAAGAATTGGCAGGAGTCTATTAAGTTGAAGCCAATCAAGACTCATCTTTAGAGATAAAGCCAATGTTGACCTCATAGTAAGGTCGTAACCAGCCCAGAAGAGTTTTGCCAATCCAGAGGCTAAGAGTGGTCACCCACACACTTGGCACATGTACCGACTGCCCACCTTCTCTCCTGCCATTTTTGCTCTGGGTTCTGGAGAATGCTGTTGCTTGGGTGGAAACAGCATCTGACATGGCTGTCTGTGATGCTGTAGTCCCCAGGCACAGCAATGGCCTTTATAATAACCGACAGCCACTGAGCATCTGTTCCAGCCAGATGCTTTACACACATTTCCTCATTGTGGCAATTAAGATGCTATCCATTACAGGGATGGGAAGTCCAGATCAAATGGTATCAGACAACTGAAAAATTAAGCAAATGCAGAGAATATAGACTTTCTTGTACCTGAAAGCTCCTAGATCTGTGATGGCTTCATAGTCATCCTACAGGTAAAGTGTGATCAAGATCTATGTTCCTTTCCTTTGCATCTTCTCAGATATGTGTCTATGCATGTATCAGTTTAAGATGGGCAGAAAAGGGTACAACTGCTGCAGACCTCTGGTTATATACTACACTTTCCCAAAGGAAAGATGACTTCCCTCAGGTTCACATTCTGCTGGCACCTATCCCAGAACTGCTTAGCAAACTACTAACCATTGGCCTGGACCAAGTCCTCCCTGCCAGTCCTCAGCAGAGGCCATGTGGGCAGGAGAATGAGGCTCTCTGTTGACCTTGGGCAGACATCTTGAACCAATTTCTGTGTTGGAAGAATTGGCAGTAGTCTATCTAGTCAGAGCCAATCAAGGCTCATCTTGAGAGATGAAGCCAATGTTGGCCTCATAGCAAGGTTAATATGGATATACAGGAATCAGTCACAGTATTCCAGCCTTAGGTTACCTTAAGCTAGTTCACTCCCTAACCTAATGCAGGCCTTAATGTATAGCTATGCTCATCCCCACACATGGCCATGTACTCATTTACCCACTTAGAGTGCACATCCCTCCTAGTAAATTTCTCTGAAGTTCTACAGCTAAGTAAAATGTGATTTTTCTATGTGTTGGTACAGAACAGCTCCTTTTTTGCCAATTGGTAGTGTCTTGTGGCTCTAAGTGTCATGGCTAAAACCATGTCATAAGATTTCCTAAGCAAGTAAGAAAGTCTTTATATCAGAGGAAGAAAAGGTTCCATTGATTGATTGCTGTGCCTTGGGAGGGGGTGATTATTCATTGCTTTGAAGAGCCACAGAGTTATGTCTAATGCTGGAAAATCAATTTGTCTCCTCCTAGCAGCTAAAAGCAAGGCAGCCCCCCTTAGCATAGATTAAGGAGACAAAAGAGATGTGTTTTGTGGTCACTGTGTCAAGACTGACAAAATAAAACAAATCCCAGAACTCCAGGAGAAAGCAGCCATGCTGTAGAGCCCAGAGAAGCTGATGTGATTGGCAGAGAGCCCTGTAAGTACACACAACAAAGCTTGCCAACATGATCACCTTTCACCGAGCTCTGATGGAGTATAGGTTGGGCCAGGATTTGAAGACAAAATATCAGAAGTTTTGCTATGGGCCCTACCAGAGCTTATTTTACTTCAGTGTCTTCCTCCAAATATGTTCTAGAAAACTCATCAGAACCACTTATATATGGGAAAATATGAGAGGCCATTTTTTTTTTGTCTTCTGAACTGTGCCTAGCAACATAACAGAAGACTCTTTGGCTCATCCTTCAACCCCATTTCTGCCTTTCAGAAATGAACCGGCATCACTACGCCCTGTATGTGCACAATTGTCGTCTCGTCTTCCTCCTGCGGAAGGACTTTGACCAGGCAGACACCTTTCGCCCTGCAGAGTTTCACTGGAAGCTGGACCAGGTAAGACTCTCAGGGCATACCTTCTCCTTCTTTGTAGTGGCAGTGGGTAGGCTCTCCAGGTCTGCTCAGTTTCTTGGTTTTAGAAAAGTCAGTTCAGGAAGGCATATAGCATCTTTAGGTCAGGATAAAAACTGCCTCCTGAGAGCCAGTAGGAGAGAAAAGGGCCACGTGTGCTAGCTAAGAAGCCACAGACTCAGGACCTGTAGACCATTACACCTGCATCTGCTATGCTCACTCTTTGTTGAGCCCATGGGAAGATGTTTGTCCTGCCCCTCGGCCAGCTAATGATCTTTGTTGATAGATCCGTCTTTGTTCTTTGTGTCAGTGAGCATCATGTCTCCCCTTTGATGCTCTCCTCCTTTGGGTGACAGTATGACTTGCTTTTGGTGACAGGCGATTGAGAACGGGGACATGAGGACTTTGAAAAAAAAAAGCAATGACAGAGTATTGTTAACAGTGTCTGCTTTTCTGAAGTGGAAAATCTGACTCACTGGAGCTTTATGGCTTGATCACAGAGGCTGGGACATCACACTTCTCCAGGACAAAGCTGTGTCTGGGTTGAGTCCAGAGCTTTGAAGTGTGTGTTCTTGAGGGCGGTACAGCACTGAGACTACCAGAAAAGACTCATTTGTAGGGGAAGGGCACTGCACAGTGAGGAAGCAAGACCAGTATGGTATTCACTTAGAAGTAAAACTGGGCAGGATTTTGTTTTAAAAAACAGTCTTAATTCAGCAAAAGAGAGAATGCCAATAGGCAGGAGTTAGATGTCACCTAACAACGCTAATTTTATAGTCCTCAAAATGTTAGGTCTCGACTTCTTATTGTGTGCGTCTGTGACCCACAGACCTATTTTCTCTCTTGTGTACCCACTGTGTGTATTGCTACTCTACCCTTTCTGCGGCTGAGTGTTTCATAATCCTGTGTTTTCTGTCTCCTTATTACTCTGCCTCTTCACCATCCCCTCCTAAACATCCCTGCCCATCTGCTCCCAGTAGGACTGACCTCAGCAGGAACTTACTCATATTGAAGTGTGAGTGATGGCTGCCCCTTCCATCCTCACAGATGCTCACATGTATGCTCAGTGAAATCCAGATATCCCAACCCCAGGAATCCCCTCTGATGGAGTCTGTGCAGTGTGAGAAAAGCAAAGATGTGCTCAAGAGACAGAGTAGGGAGTCACTGGCAACTATCTGGCCTGATCTTAGTAAATCCCACCCTGCTGGATCCTGGGCAGCTGAAAAGACAGCATATGTGTTCATCTGCATTTCTTTGTGTTAGGAATTCTGGGGCATGTAGGAATGGTAAAACGTTAACATTGTTTATATGATTTCTCAGCAACCTCCCAGCTATGTCCTGAAGTGCCAGATGGCTTTTATGGGATGTTTTAAAATATATAATACAAATTGAAGTGAATTAAAATAAATTCCATATTGTGAGGGGTTCTTTAATAAGAACATTGCCATACTGGTGGAGATAATTATAGATACCCTGAGGCATTTTCTGAGATAGGATTGAGAAGCAAGGATACAGGCAAATGAAGTTGCAGGATTTGAAATTAAAAATAGACAAGGAAGGAATCCTGGTTGTATAGATAAATATATAGTGAATGTAGCAGTTCTGGAAGCCACTCATTTAAAGAGGAACTGAGTTAGTGAGTAATGCCCTGGTCCCATGGATGTTCCTTTGGTTGGTTTTGTTTTGTTTTACTTTGTTTTGTTTTGTTTTGCTTTGCTTTGCTTTGCTTTGCTTTGCTTTGCTTTGCTTTGCTTTGCTTTGCTTTGCTTTGCTTTGCTTTGCTTTGCTTTGCTTTGTTTTGTTTTGTTTTGTCATGTTGAGTTTGCTCTGTCCCAGGCAACCTGCACATATGAGGCCATTTCCAGCTCTGCCACAGGCTTTCCATGGAAGCTTCCAGGCAGGAGACTCCAGCCCCAGGTACTTGTCCATGGCCCACTGCAAGCCATGGCCAACACCTGTCCTTTCTCTCCTGCTACTCCTTTGGTGAGCATGCTGACTAAAATGTAAAATTCATCCATTCATAGATAAGATTTATACCTTTTATGCAAAATATCTGTAGCTGTCATGGAACCCTACAAACTATTGGATCTTTCCTTGGCTTACGCTCTATATTCGTCTGTGTTTAACTCTGTGTAGGCTACCTTAACAAAATACCCTGGGCTGCATGGCTTAAGGTGGAGATGTTTACTTTCCCATGGCCAATAAAGTTGAGAAGTGCAAGGTCAAGGTGCTCATTGATACATGTCCTAATGAGATCTGTTTCCCTGGATACAGAGGACTTCCTTCACTTGCTTTGTCCCCAGTACCAGAGAGTGAAAGGTGGCACCCTCATGTCTGTTCCTCTCAAAAGGAACTAACCCTGTTATATGAAGTCCCAAGTCTGCCTCCCTCATTTCATTTGCTTCCCTGCCCTAGGTCATATCTCCAAATATATCTGGGGTTTAGTATTTCATACTGTGAGTTTGAGGAGGACAGAATTCACTCTGCAGCATTTTTGTACTGATCTTGTGAAAGTCAAAGGACTCCTTGCTGTCAGACATCCCAGTTCATAGGGACCGTCGGTAGGTGAAGGACGGAGGCTGTAGTGAGGAGGGCACAGGATCATGTTGCCAACCCAGTGGTGTATACAGGCCAGCCCACAGAACTACCTGTTTTCTCCTCAGCTCCCTGTTATGTCAGAACATTACCTGAAGTTTCTCTCATGTAAACTGCATGATGCTCAGAGCATACAGAGCTGACGAAACTTCTTGACCAGGAATTGCCTGGCACATCTCCTGGGGGGGTCATCTGCACCCTTGTTTGTCAGACTCTTCGTGACTCTTTCTGCACTGCCATCACACAGCTATCCCTCCCATACGCTTCCTTCGTGCCAACCTCCTGGAAGCAGAGTGGTGTCTTTACTCAGCCCCAGCTGTACAGTGTGTGGTATAGCTCCGAGCACATAGATAGTCCACAGATAATGTCTGCATAATGGTGAAGGGATGTGGAGGGAGAGTCAGTGAGGCCAGAAGAAGGAGAAGAAAGACAAGGATGGAGAGAGGAAAAGCCAAGATATCTAAAAAGAAACAAATAAACAAAACATAACTTCTAGTGATTAATTGAAAATTTAATTTACTTCACTGAGCATTTAAAAATTCTAAGTTTTTACAGCTGTTTTCCTTACTCTCTGGTTCTTAAAATAATGTTTATCTCTTATCTTTTTAGCTTATTTCAAATAAGATCCAGTTGGATTAACTACCGGTAACTCTATACCTGACCTTTGCCAAAAAGGATTCAAACTGGTCTAATATGTTCTGTGTGACTAAACTCCTGGCCTATGTTAACAATTCTCAAAGCCTCTTATTGATTCTAATACCTGCTGGGCCTTTTTATTTCTGTTCTAAGTAGTTTATTCTGTGAGTTAGACTCCATCCTTCATCCCCTAGATCAGTGCAGAACTAGAAGCTGTGGCTGTCCAGAAGGTTCCATGACCAGGAGTCAAAAAGACAGTTTATAGTCTCATATAGGCAATGCTTGAGAAGAAAGTGGGGCACATCCCTGTCAGGGACAGCAGGCAGGGCTATCTTATGTAGCCCTGTGGATAAGAGTCTAAGAAAACATCCAAAAGAAACACTGGAATGGAAAGGTACATGTGCAGAGGTTGGCATCCAAGATGTTAAACAATTAACAGGACCTGAGTGTTAGAATTTAGAAAAAGTGGACCAGGCAGGAATTAAGTCCAAGTAGATATTTATGTCATGCCCCCCCCAGGCAAATAGGTCATAATCAAAGTATCCATTATATCCATTACTCAATGCAAGACCATGAATGTTATGCATGGGCAAACCTGGAGAGTCTTGTATGTTATACATCACATCACATTCAAGCAAATGTAACTCTGCCTAGAACAATACACAAGGCCAGTGGCAGGGATTAATCTCTCCTATCCCTATCTCCACAGCCATGCCAGGACCCAACTCCAGATAGGTGCATTTGAACAACTGGCTCCTCGTTGCCACTGAAGCTAGAGAGTATAATGTCTTCCACATAGCTCTTCAGGGGTGGCCATGAGTGAAGAAGTTGCTCATGCCCCAGAGGCATCATGTGTTTCCACCCCTTTTCCTTACACCTACCCCAGAAGGCCTTTGCTAAGGCACATGAATTGCCTGTAGGTGTAATGAGGCAGCCCCAGGAAATGCCTCTGAGAATCCAGGGCATCTCACTGAAGTGATGCTAACAGCTAGGGAAATGTCATTTTAATAGGATTTTTGCTCCCGATCTACTAATGCAAATCCCTCAAGCCAGCAGTCAGTCATGTGCAAACTCAGACAAGAGCTCCCAGCACATATAGGGAAGGTTTATCAATCCATGGGCCCTCTTGGCTTTAATATTATTTGGATATGGTTCATTCAGTATTGTGAATTCTGATCGTCTTCCCCTTGGAAATATTGGCGTTAGAATGGTGTGCCCTGGGACTCCCATTGGAGGAGACAGCTTGAGTGACAGACTCGGTGAAACAGAAAGAGCACAGGTATCCCAATTCATATGAGAAAAATAATGTATCCGTGAAGAGCATAAAGCCCACAAGAAGCAGAAATTGGTCTCATTTGGCCAGCCATTGTCTGTGCCTCAGGGACAGAGACACGAATGGTATAGCTCACTCTGAGGGAGCTCACTAGTTCATGGCCAGTTAATGTTCCCTGGCAGCATACCCCCGCAGGGGTCCCAGACTCTAATAATTCTGGGCTACTGGGAGGAACAACAAGGATTAGAGAGGCCCAGCCAGGTGAAGCCAGATACCTAGCTGGGTGAATTAAAGATTCGTTTCTAAGCCATACATCCAGGCCTAGCACTGTACTTTCAACTATCTGGAAGCTGAAAAATCAGATTTTCATGTAAGCCATCTTAATTTTCAATATGTTCTCATTTAAGAATGTATTGCGTTAGGTCAAGCCAAACATTCTGTGAAATACCTTTATCTTCTGACCAGGTTATTCTGTTCATTG